AACTTAAAGTCTAAGTAGGATTGTAATAGCGGAAGCGTTGAGATAAAAGAAGCTTGAACCACCTTGCGCTAGTATGTGAGGGCAAAGTAAGTTGATAATAACAAAGAGATACAAGCTTATATAATAGTACAAGGAATACGAAAGGATACAGTTATAACTGCCATTACTACTGCTGTTGCGGTTCGATACAGTACGACTCGGGCAACTGCTCTGTAACGAGTCAGTTGTGTGTCCTTGACTGTCGCGCTGTATTGTCTGGTCAAGGTCAGCGACCTTTGACTTTCGCGTAACCTCCAGCAGTTGTTTCAACCTCCGAGGGTTGACTCGCGAGTGCTTCGGTGCAGTTTGCCTCGCTTCTGGTACAGTGTTTCGACACGACTGGAGCGCTTAAGTCTGATTGTTTCCAACATGATGAAACTGAAGGACACTGAACTAGGGTCAAATTTTCACGTGCACGTTTATCCAAACGTGTGTTCTTCTGCTCGTGCACAGTGAATTTGCGGATTGTACGACGGTTACGAAAGACAACGTACCAGGTTACTGTAGCCGGATTCGTCACGAACTTCGTCGTCTAGACTAGGTAACCTACGAAATTTGGGCACGACTCGGAATCTACTGTACATAGTCGAACTTCGTTAGTCGAACTTTGTTGTTCCATCTGTTTGATGTGAAAGGTAACACTGCGACTTGACCACAAATAGTCGAGAAAGTCGACCACAGGTCAACCGAAGTTCAAATGGATAAAGCTGAACAAAAAACATGAACTACAAATACACTCCAAAAGACACGCTCCCTTAGGATTTCCAGAATGTTCAACAAATAAATTTCTTCGCACTTGCATGCTATATGTGTTGTTGGTATGTTTTCCCTAGTCTACATCTATCATCAAGTCTCCACCCACATTTCATACTAGACTACACATAGCCAATTAGGCCAAATGGACTAACATATTGGAGTTTAGACACAACCCTATTATATCTGGATTTTCACTGTAACGCGTTAATCTCCGCACCACTACGCTTTTCCCCACCAACCACACTGGTCAGTCCAAGTCTTTAATTTCTTCGGAGCTTTTGATTCAAGAAACGCCGACGCTGCTGTGCGGTTCAGAGCGTTTTGCAGATATCCGAAACGCTTCTGTTCGTTAAGAGTGGTAAGATTGGCTGCGCGAGCTAACATTCAACGACCACACCAACCAAACCAACCATCCCATTACACTCAATTCACTCAGCGCGATTCCCGTCTACAGATGCCTCCACACTCAGCATTGATAGCGTGTTCGAGACAATTACTGCAGTCCCCATTCAGCTGAATTTGTACACGAGATTTGCAGTCACCATTGATCCTATAGCAGCAGTGGAACGGGGCAGAGACTAGTTAGGAGTATTGTTTTGCTCACGACCCCCGGGCCGCCCTGCAAAGCGCACACGCAACGGCTCAAGCCTTGAGTATTAGCAACGCAAGCAACGAATCTATCGCAATCCCACCGTACGGGTCACGCGCGTTAGCAAGGCGTGCCGCGTGCAGGGCGTTCGGCAAAGGCGTGCGTGCAGAGCGTCGGGTTAAGACCGACACGTTCGCCGGTGGGTGCGTTCGCCGAACGGCATCGGCGGGCATCGGCAACGGCAAACGAGCACACGGCGGACAGCGAGCGCGGAGAGCATTGATGGGCCCGCGTTGCGCCGCGGCGATGAGGAGGCGCGGCGACGTCACGATGGCGGCGAGAGCAGCGGTGGTGGCGCTGGTGGTGGCGCGCTGCTGCATGCCCCTCGCACGCGCTGCTCCCGTGGTGCACGCTGACAGTAAGCCGTGCTGCACGCTATTTATTCCTCCAACATCCTCCTTTTGACAGCCGGATGTCCCGTGTAAGCCGACCTGCCATGTGCCATACCACCCCAGGACCGTAACCCTATTTAGCATGCAACAAGAGGTCCGTATCGGCAGCTAACCATCCCTGCTGATGGCGAGGCGCGGCGGCGTCACAATGGCGGCGAGAGCGGCGGCATCACCAAAATTGAAAGATCCCATTTCGGTCCAGACTTCCTCACCATCCAAATGAATCTTTTTGCTAGATCATGAAAAGACCCCAACAGGATCTCAAATGGACCCCAACCGGTAGGGTTTCAGACCTTCAATTTTTGCGATGGGTGGTGGCGCTGGTGGTGGCGCTCTGCTGCATGCCCCTCGCACGCGCTGCTCCCGTGGTGGACGCCGAGAGTAAGCCGTTAAGCCGAGAGTAAGCCGTTAAGCCGAGAGTAAGCCGTTAAGCCGAGAGTAAGCCGTTAAGCCGAGAGTAAGCCGTTAAGCCGAGAGTAAGCCGTTAAGCCGAGAGTAAGCCGTTAAGCCGAGAGTAAGCCGTTAAGCCGAGAGTAGGCCGTTCTTTCTCGACCTCCTCCTCATCACACACGAGAGTAAGCCGTGACACGCTGAGGGTTATCCTGAAGGAATAATATGGAGAGTGCAGCAACAACGAGAGAGTAAGGAAAAAATGACTAAGTGAACGATGTTGTGTCAACAACTCGTTAGAGTTTTGGTAGCGTTCGTCTCAAATGACTGAGGAAGAATCCAAGTAGAGATTGTAATAATATGACTCATGTATACAAAGCAAACACACAAATAGATATCGGCAGACGAGAGTTCACACAAGGTTGCGTGGCGCTGCGGGGTAGCCCAACCCCACGAAAGTGAACGCGCCTCGCTCAATTCCAACCCAACTCAGCATCGAATTCCCGCTTTTGTGCACGCCACTCCACCAACACAGCAAGGAGTGGCGTGACTCTCAAACACGCACCAACGACTCCTAAAGACTCACGCCATCCAACACAACCTCCTACGGAGCAGCTCGTAGTCATTTGGTCCATCGTGACTTTTACTGAATCACATTTGTCGGTGCCAAGAGCTAGAAGTCTTGGTCGACAGCTTGTCGACCTGCCAAGTTAAACCCTTTGTGAGGGCCCTTGCTGTTGTAGGGCCCTCTAACAAATCCGTGTTGCAGCTTGCACTATCATGTTGAGCTCACTGCTGGTTGCAGCTGCCCCTCCTGCCATCCACACCTCAATCCCTCTTCCCTCTCCCTTGGAAATCATGTTTCCAACACGTTCTGTGGCATGGCATGCCGCCTTGGGTGGTATGGATGGATGGCAGTGGAAGTTTTGGAGAATCTACCACAAAAATGGAACGACTTTGAGGATAGGAGCACATGGACCAGGGGTGAGGATTGCGACAGCTTGGATGGCGTGCAATGTGATGGCGATGGGCATGTCATTGCACTGTAAGCATGTCATTGCACTGTAAGCATGTCATTGCACTGTAAGCATGTCATTGCACTGTAAGCATGTCATTGCACTGTAAGCATGTCATTGCACTGTAAGCATGTCATTGCACTGTAAGCATGTCATTGCACTGTAAGCATGTCATTGCACTGTAAGCATGTCATTGCACTGTAAGTAAGCATGTCATTGAATTGTAAGCATATCATTGCATTGTAAGCATATCATTGCACTGTAAGCATGTCATTGCACTTTAAGTAAGCATGTCATTGCACTGTAAGCATGTCATTGCACTGTGAGCATGTCATTGCACTGTAAGCATGTCATTGCACTGTAAACATGTCATTGCACTGTAAGCATGTCATTGCACTGTAAGCATGTCATTGCACTGTAAGCATGTCATTGCACTGTAAGCATGTCATTGCACTGTAAGTAAGCATGTCATTGCACTGTAAGTAAGCATGTCATTGAATTGTAAGCATATCATTGCATTGTAAGCATATCATTGCACTGTAAGCATGTCATTGCACTTTAAGTAAGCATGTCATTGCACTGTAAGTAAGCATGCCATTGCAGTGTAAGCATGCCATTGCATTGTAAGCATATCATTGCACTGTAAGCATGTCATTGTGCTGTAAGCATGTCGTTTCACCGTATCCCCTTTCCTTTGTTTCTGCTCTTTTTGCATCTGCAAAACCAGTTGTTGAATCGACTTCCATTCCCTCCTTCCACTCCATTCCCTCCCTCGATGCCATCCTTCTCCCCGCACAGCTCTATCAGTGCGTGCACCGACAACAGCTCACTACCCACGGCTCTCCTCGCATTGTCACATCTCAAGGATCTGTGAGACTCCTTCGTCTCCACTCTCCCTCTCTCGTGAGACTCACTCGTTCTATCCCCCACTTTGCTCCACTTTCTCGCATTTTCCCTTGCTTTTCAAATTTTGGCCTTGCTTGCACTGACTTATCCTTGCTTGCAGTGACGTAGACGTGCGTAGTCAGAGTTTTCTTTTCTTGTACTGTCTCTGTCCCTACCTTTCCCTTACCACGGTTATCCTTATCCATCCATTCATCCATCCATCCATCCTTCCATCCATCCATCCGTCCGTCCGTCCGTCCGTCCGTCCGTCCTTCCATCCATCCATCCATCCATCCATCCATCCATCCATCCATCCATCCATCCATCCATCCATCCATCCATCCATCCATCCATCCATCCATCCATCCATCCATCCATCCATCCATCCATCCATCCATCCATCCATCCATCCACCCATCCACCCACCCACCTACCCACCCACCCCACCACCATTGCGTGTGCTGACTGCTTGCAGTGATTTGAAGTTTTGCAATCACTTTTTCCCGGATACAGCAATCATCTCTTTTCCGACTGGCCTGTCAGTTCAATCTATTCTCTCATGTATCTCTCTCTTCTCTCATGCACTTCCGTCTTCTCTCATGCACTTCCCTTTTCTCTCGTGCACCTCCCTCCCTCTTCTCTCGTGCACCTCCCTCTTCTTTCTATCACGGGCTGCGGCCCATCTGTTTTGCATCAGCCGCCCTCTTTTCTACCTGCATGTGCATGCCCAACTGCATGCCCAGCTGCATACCTACCACACCCCTTCCTTTTCTGTCTATCGGGTCCTCTCCTATCTCCCACCGCTGCGTCTGCGCCCATCCTCCCTGGTGCTATATCTGCCTTTCCCCTCCCTGCTTTCACCGTCTCCCCTCCCTACCCTCTCCCCCATGCCTGCCTGCCACGGCCCATCAATGCAGCAGCACCGCCTCTCACGGCAATCTCAAAGCTTCCGTTCCGAAAGAACTGGGCAATCTGCAGCAGCTCACCCGCCTGTCAGTGCGCTTGGGGGGAGGGGAGGGGAAGGGGGGAAGAAGGGTGGGGTGCAGCAGGTGGGGGGGTTGGAGTGGGTGGGTGGTTGGGTATGCCAGTTCGAGGATGAGAGGATGACAGGGTGCATGTGGAGGGATGGAGCAAGATGAGGCTTACAGCGTTGTTCCTCCACCGGGATTTGTGTCGACTCCATGTCCGTCTGGCCCCTCACACCCCATCTGGCCCCTCACACCCCATCTGGCCCTTCACACCCCATCTGGCCCCTCACACCCCATCTGGCCCCTCACAGCCCGTTTCCATGATCTCTTTAGGGCGCGTGTCTTTTGAAATTTATTGTAAAGTTCATGTTTTTTTCTTGAATTTCCCCGTTTGAACTCTGGTCGACTTGTAGTCGACCATCTCGACTTTTGGAGGGCAATTTTTTCCTCACCTTTCGAATCAAGCAAGGGTAACAACGAAGTTCGACTTTATACAGTAAAACCCGAGTCGCGCACAAATTTCGTAGGTTACGTGGCTTGACTGCGTAGCTCGTGATCGAATCCCAATTTAGTAACGTGGTACGTTGTGCGTCGTTACTTTCGCAAAACTCGCAAATTCACTCTGCACGAGAGGAAGAACACACGTTTGGATAACCGGGCACGTGAAAATTCGTCCCCAGTTCATTGTCCTTCGGTTTCATCAATCTTTGTTCTTGGACACATGATTCTCGCAAAGAGCCCTAGACGAAGTTAACGAAACCGGTTACCAGCAAAAGTTCGACCTTATTTTTGAACTTCTACACCAAAAGACACGCGCCCTTATTCTCAACTGCATTGTCTGCTACACGTTTCTTTTCTTCACACTCTGGTTAACAGCCTCTGGTCAACAGTCCTTGTTCTTTTGGGTCGGCTTTAATCAGAAACCGGTTACCACCGACAAATATTTCTGGGTCAGCTTTCAACCAGAATCCCTAAAACATAAACCCCCCATGGTGCGTGCATGGTGCATGCACGGTGCACGCATGGTGAATGCGTGTTGCAAGCAGGCAATTGGAGGCGAACAATCTACTGGAGTCACTACCAGAGCAGCTCTCCCAGCTGCAGAAGCTGCAGTCTCTGTAAGGCCGGGTGAGGGACATGTGATGGCATGTGATGGCATGTGATGGCATGTGATGGCATGTCATGGCATGTCATGGCATGTCATGGCATGGGATGGCATGGGATGGCATGTGATGGCATGGGATGGCACCCTACGGGCTGTGCGAAGCCTGAAGGGCATGTGAGGCATTGTGCATGGCACCGCGGCATGAAAGGGAAATTTCACATGCTCCCTACACATAACTCTGCCATGTTCGACATAACTCTGCCATGTTCGACATAACTCTGCCATGTTCGACATAACTCTGCCATGTTCGACATAACTCTGCCATGTTCGACATAACTCTGCCATGTTCGACATAACTCTGCCGTGTTCCACATAGCTCTGCCATGTTCCCTCCTCCTTCCGTGCTCTCTCCCTTCTTGTTTTCTCCTCGCTGTTTAGTTTCGTCTTCCCCATCGTCGCTCTCCTACCTGTTTTCCCTGCTCCTTGCCTCTTGGCTGCTCCGTGCCTCTTGGCTGCTCCGTACCTCTTGGCTGCTCCGTGCCTCTTGGCTGCTCCGTGCCTCTTGGCTGCTCCGTGCCTCTTGGCTGCTCCGTGCCTCTTGGCTGCTCCGTGCCTCTTGGCTGCTCTGTGCCTCTTGGCTGCTCCGTGCCTCTTGGCTGCTCCGTGCCTCTTGGCTGCTCCGTGCCTCTTGGCTGCTCCGTGCCTCTTGGCTGCTCCGTGCCTCTTGGCTGCTCCGTGCCTCTTGGCTGCTCCGTGCCTCTTGGCTGCTCCGTGACTCTTGGCTGCTCCGTGCCTCTTGGCTGCTCCGTGCCTCTTGGCTGCTCCGTGCCTCTTGGCTGCTCCGTGCCTCTTGGCTGCTCCGTTCCTCTTGGCTGCTCCGTGCCTCTTGGCTGCTCCGTGCCTCTTGGCTGCTCCGTGCCTCTTGGCTGCTCCGTGCCTCTTGGCTGCTCCGTGCCTCTTGGCTGCTCCGTGCCTCTTGGCTGCTCCGTGCCTCTTGGCTGCTCCGTGCCTCTTGGCTGCTCCGTGCCCCTTGCCTGCTCCTTGCCTCTTGGCTGCTCCTTGCCTCTTGGCTGCTCCTTGCCTCATGGCTGCTCCTCCTCTCTTGGCTGCGCACATCATCAGGCACTTGTCGGCTCATGAGCATCTGTCCGGGAAGCTGCCTGCGTGGATCTTCAGCCTCACAAACTTGACTTCACTGTGCGTGCTGCCATGCACCATCTGCCATGCACCATCTGCCATGCACCATCTGCCATGCACCATCTGCCATGCATGCACCATCTGCCATGCACCATCTGCCATGCACCATCTGCCATGCACCATCTGCCATGCACCATCTGCCATGCACCATCTGCCATGCACCGTCTGCCATGCACCATCTGCCATGCACCATCTGCCATGCAACATCGGCAATCCATATACTGCTTGTCCTTGTCACGTCTTAACTCGCCTCTGAGTTTTTAGTACATTTCTCTGCACTGCTCCCAACAGCTTCTTCAATTCCCTTTTCATCTTCCCCCTTCGCTTCTCTCCTCTTACCCATCCATTCCCTTCCGGCCTTCCCTCTCCGGTGATTGCCCCCCCCTCTCTGCGCTTCCCTCCTCCCTGCTTCTGTTCAACCCTCTCCATGCGCCAGGCATATCTATGTCTCTTACAACAGCGTTCCAGGCTCCATTCCAGAGGCAATCAGCAGCCTCAAGCAGCTGCGGAAGTTGTGAGTGGTGCATTGCAAGACACATGCACTGCACACACATGCATAACTGACACATGCATGTGAGGCCATGCATTATCAATCTTCCCACACCCAACCTCTACCGCTCCTCTTCACCGCCTCTCTCAATCCCACATGTCACCGCACTGTGCCGCACTTGACCGCAGATACCTCTTTGAGGGCAATCTGACAGGGCCCATCCCCGAGTCAATAGGAGCGCTCACCAACCTGCACGATCTGTAAGGAAGTGGGATGTGTGTGGGGATGACGGAAAGGTGGTGCTCCAATCAGCCGACGCTAACCTGCTCATTTATTTCACTCCTTTGCTGCCGTGGCTTGGCTGGGTTTGGGTTGAATCAAGTTTCTGCGAGAGTGCATTCTGAGTTCTGCAAGCCATTGTTGCCCCATGCCACAACTCACTCGCTGGGAAAGCATTGCAATGCGAGCGTCTTGAGGAGGAGGAGGAGGAGCCGTGCCTCCTGCTTCGTGCCTCCACTCCACTCCTTTGTCAAAAGCCTCTTGTGCCTTTGCAATGGCTCCGGTATGTAGGCATCTTCAAATCTGGAGCTTTGCTTATGTTGCCACCCCATGCCATGCCATGCCATGCCATGCCATGCCATCCCATGCCGCCCCAAGCCACCAAATGCCATCCCGTCCCATCCCATGCCATCCCGTGCCACCACACTGCAGGCAGGTGTTGAGCAATAGCCTGGGTGGCACCATTCCCGCCGCCATTGGCAACCTCACCGCACTCACCAACCTGTGCAGCCATTCTCCCGCCACCCCGCTCTCTCCCTTCCTCCCTCCACCCGCCCCTATTCCGTTCCCCCTCAACCCTCCCTCTCTCTCATTCTCCCTTCACCTCCCCTTTTCCAATTCCCCCTCCACTCGCCTCTCTCAAACTCTCCATCCACCCCTCTCTTGCCAATTTTCCCTCCACCTCCTCCTCTCTCATTCTCCCTCCACTCCCCCTTCTCCCATTCTCCCTACGCCCTAAAATCCCTTCTCTCGTTTATTAGGAAGAATTTACCAAAAGTGTACATGACATTACACCATCATATTACACGAGTAGACAAATGACTACACCACGTTACACAAAATGCTTGTCTGAAAAGAAGCAAAAAAACTCTGAACTTCTCCCACCCATCCCCCACCTCAGCATTCCCCCTTTCGTTCTCTCCTCCTATTATTGAATTCTCTCCCTGCCTTCCACCTCCCTTCGTTCAATGCCTCTCCTTCCCCTCTCCCTCCTTCCCCATTCCTCCCTTCCCCCCTCCGCCCTTCTCATATCCACCTTCCCCCATCCTCCCTCCTCCCATCCTCTCAATGCTCCAGGGTACTGGTTGGCACCAGTCTCTCAGGCTCCATTCCAGAGGCAATCAGCCGCCTCAAGCAGCTACGAAGCTTGTGAGTGGTGATGGGGAAGGCATGCAAGGTGCTGTGGAATGATCAGGTGTGGTAGCCAAAGGTCCCCTCATGGAGCAAGTGAGTGGGAGAGTGAGAGGCTGAGAGCGGGTGCGGTGAGAGTGTAAGTGAGTGAGTGAGTCGGTGGGTGAGGGGATCAGAGGATGAGTGATTAGAGTTCCAGTTTCACAAGCTCAGTGGAGGCATCTTGTGATCAGAGGAATGTCTGAGTGAGCGAGCGAGTGGAGGCATCCTTATGGCCTAATGGCCTGGCCGTCCATCCCATCACATCCCATCCCATCACATCCCATCCCGTCCCATCCCATCCCATCCCATCCCATCCCATCCCATCCCATCCCATCCCATCCCATCCCATCCCATCCCATCCCATCCCATCCCATCCCATGCCATGCCATGCCAGACCATCCCATGCTATCCCGTGCCATCCCATGCCATGCCATGCCATGCCATGCCATGGCAGGGAGCTGAATGACAACAGGCTGAGTGGCACCATTCCCGCCTGCATTACCCACCTCACCGCACTCACCTCCCTGTGCGTCCATTCTCCCTCCACACCCTCCCTCTCCGTTTCTTCTTTCCACCTGCCTCTATCTGATGAGCATTGGGCCTTTGAAAGGGTACCCCTCTCTGCCTTCTTCTCTTCTTCTCCTCTTCTCTTCTCCTCGTCTCTCAAAGACACGTCTGTGAGTCACCTTTCGCTCGAGGACTCGTTGATTAAAATAACCAGCTCCAGTCACAGGTGAGAATGGCTGGATTCGAACTGCTGCAAGCCTACTAAGAGTCTTTGGATTCGCTGATTGGAACAACCAGCTCCATTAACGGCGCACACAAATATCCAACAACTGTCACCACTACCCATCTCTGTGAAGCGCCACCCATACTGCTCGCATCACCTTTTTGCCATTCACACGTCTCCCCCCTTCTTCCATCCACACGTCCCTTCCTTTCTCCCGGCTGGCAGCTGCACCTTCAAGGTTGCCACCTGAGAATAAATGCCATCCCATCCGCCATGACACAATCACTTACTCTCCCCTTCCCTCTTATTGAGTCGACTCAAAACACCTTCAAGGTTCCCACCCTGGAATAAATATATGCCATCCGCCATGACACGACCACTTAATCTCCCCTTCCCTCCCAGGAGCCATCTTTCTCATATCATGCCTTGAAACGTTTGAATTGATTCACCTCCTAGGAATCAAAGGATAAGCGTGTCCGCTGATCCCACTCAGAGATCCCATTCAAAAAGTAGATTCCACGAATCAGATCTCAATCTCACGCAGCGTACACCAGAACAAAGATCCCAGTCAACACGCACATGCTACTCCTGTCCCATCACTCCCCTCTCCCTTCACTCCCTCTTTCCCCTCCCATCACCCCCTCATTCCCATCACTCATTCTCCTCACCTCTCCGCTTCTCTTCCCACCTCCTCCCCTCCCACCTTCCCATGGCATCACAGCTACCTTGACCACAACCAGCTTACAGGAGAGCTGCCCTCCTTCCACCACATGCCACATCTCTCTTTGCCATACAGTATACATGCTCAGAACAACTACCTCACGGCCACACCAGACCCTTCAAATACCAGCAGCGTGTGTCTGTTCCACCACAACTGCCTTGGAGGCCACTTGATCTTTTGCGGCCGCGGGGAGCAACAGAGGCGAGCCAGCGAGTGCCGGGCATTCTGTGGGGCGCAGCCGCTCACCCCGCCGTGCAGCGGCCGTGGCGTGTGCTCCTTCCAGCCGGACCCCTCTCACAACATGGCTGCCTGTGAGGATGAGGATGGCGATAAGCCGCCGCCACGCTACTGTGAACCCGAGGGCCAGTGCGTCTGTGATGAGGGGTACACGCCAGGGACAAAGGCTGGCACATGCGTCTCCCACGGTACGCCTGCTGCTGAGTGCGCTCACTAGCTGATGGTCATTCTCTTCTTCAGTTCCCTTTTCCCCATAAGGTCGTCCTTGCTGCATCTTGTCTTTCAATCCCTGCTTGCCAACATGCCTGCTTACCAACATGCCTGCCTGTGAACGTGCCTGCTCGCGAATGTGCCTGCTTGCCAACGTGCCTGTTTGCCACATTGCTGGAAGGGCGTGTTTCAGTGGAGGTTCAACGCACCACAACCTCCCATCTGCACTGCCTGTAGCCCATCTGCACTGCCTGTAGCCCATCTGCACTGCCTGTAGCCCATCTGCACTGCCTGTAGCCCATCTGCACTGCCTGTAGCCCATCTGCACTGCTCACACCAGTCAACCCCCCTTGCGCCAGTGCCTCTGCTCCTGCTCCGCCGCTTCCCTTCTCCTCTGCACACACATCACTTCCTCCAACTCCTCTTGCTCTCCTTCCTCACCCTGCTGACACCAATCCCCGCCACTCTCTCTTTCCCCAACCCACCCTCTGAGCCACCAGGCACTGCAGTCCTGGGGAGCCCTCTGTCCGGTCTCCAGGCGCCTCAAAACCTGCTGCTGCTGCTGCTGCTGCTGCTCATGCTTCCACTGGCGGTGCTGCTGCTACTGGCCTTCACAGTGCCGCAGTTGCTGAGGCACCTCAGGAATCGACCCCCCACACGCTACTTCTTTTCAAAGAGAGCCCTTGCTGCCCGGCAAGCTGCCATGGGTGTGGAGATCACTTGCTAGTGCCCCACGTGAATGCAGGAATAATATTGGCAACAAGATACGCACCTTCAATAACCGTATCCACATGATATGGTACCATAAATACGATATAATAGTGTTGTTCTTAAGTTGCATACTCGATATTACGTCCCACGCATTGTCAATACCTCCACTGCCTCAGGGGTCTTTCTTTCACCAATTTATTGGTCCATTGGCGAGACAATCCTGGGTCATTTGTCCTTGCTGCCTCCAGGCAAAGCTTGCCTCCAAGTCTCATTTGTTGGGCTGAGAAAAAGCCCTTAGGATCTTTGCAGGGGTGAACTCTGGGTAGGACTGATGTAATAGCGGAAGCTTTAATGAAGTAGTTGAACCACCTTAAGCTAGTATGTGAGGGCAAAGTAGATTGATTAAAACAAAGAGATACAAGAGTATATATAAAAGTACAAGGAATATGAAGAGGTACAATTATAACTGTTTTACTGTTGCTGTTGCGGTTCGATACAGTGACGACTCGGGCAACTGCTCTGTAGCGAGTCAGTTGTGTGTCCTTGCTGTCGCGCTGTACTTTGTCAGGTCAAAGGTCGCTGACCCTTGACTTTCGCGTAACCTCCAACAGTTACTTTCAACCTCCGAGGGTTGACTTGCCGGTGCTTCGATATGCTTTGCTTTGTTTGTGCCTTAGTGTTTCGACACGACAGAGGCGCTTAAGATCAATTGTTTCCAACACTTCCCTTCGCTTCTGGAGTGTCGCTGCTGGTGACGTGGCTTTGTCCAGTCAGCAGCATGCAGTACTCGAACTTCTGCTTTCCGAGCTTCTTGGTCAGGTAGTCAGCTGCCATCTCGGACGTGGGGCAGTACCGTCATACCCCGGATATAAGCGCCACCCGCGGATAAGCGCCTGGCGCTTTTAATTGGCGTGTGGCGCTTATATCCGGTGCTCGATTATAAGCGCACCCCCTGAAGGCTTACGTATTATAAGAGCCACCATTTGTATTAGTTTTTATAAAATTACTGGAATCTCTGTAGCGAAACACACTATTTGCATCCTCACTTGATAAAATTTCGACCCTTCACCCTCGCGCGACTCACTGCCCCACCCTCGCGCGACTCATTTGACTGCGCGTCTAGTCAGAATGAGCTGTCATGGGGCGAAATGACTCATTCTGACTGTGTGTGTTGGCAGTTTGCAAACTTACGCGAGATTCTTCTTCACACCCACTATGATCTTGACTCGATTGAAACCGCAATGACAAGATGAACATTTTGAAGTGAAAACAACTAGATTTCATATATGTCATTGTATAAGCCCCGGCGCTTATAGAATTACTATATTATAAGCCCACCCCCTAAAAAAAACACGTTTTATTAGTGCCCCCCATGGGGGTATATCCGGGGTATGACGGTATGACAGTTCGAGCCTCCCTTTCTCGATCTCGTCCTTCATGAAGAAATATCGCACGGCGATGTGTTTCGCTCTGTTCGTGAAGCCGTTCTTGTTGGCAATGCGAATTGCCGACTGGTTGTCGCAAAACAGAGTGAAGCTGGGTAACTGAGCCAGCTTCGCTTCTTCCAGCAGTTCGCGAAGGTAAAGTCCTTCCTTGGTGGCTGAACAGAGTGCAATGTATTCTGCTTGAGCTGATGAGAGGGCGATTAATTCCTGCTTGCTCGACTGCCAAGAGATAGGTCCGATAGGTTCGAGGCGGTAGATGTAGCCGGTGCGAGAGCGCCTGTTGTCGGAGTCGCCAGCGTGATCGGCGTCGACGTAGCCGATTAACTTAGGCGGTGTAGTTGCGTTCTTGTAGTAAGTTAGGCCGATCGTCGGGGTGCTGACGAGGTAGTGAAGAGCGCGGTCGAGCTCAGCTAGATGTTCCGCTTTAGGCTTCTTGAGGTAGGTGGCGAGCTGACTTGCAGAGTACGATAGGTCCGGGCGGCAGGTGACGGCTGCGAAAAGAAGGCAACCCAGTTTCCTTTGGTAGTCGCGTATGCCGGCAGCGGAGCTTCCCTTGCTGCTTCCTGTCGTGTAGCGGTACGGTGTGGAGATGGCGGTCGGTGTGAGTGCGAAGCGCTTGGTGATGGTGTCTGCGTATTTCGCGGCACTGAGGTGGATCACGTCTTCTTCTTCTCGGATGTTGAGACCGAGGTACTGTGTGACGGTAGATGAGACCGTGAGCGTGAGGTCCTTCTGTAGCTCCCCTTCGAACCAGGTTGTGATGCCGTCGGTCGAGCCGATGTAGAGTAAATCGTCTACGTAGACGATTAACAGGATGTAGTCGGTGTTCTTCGTGAGCCGGTACATGCCTTGATCATGCGGTAGTTGTTTGAAGCCGATGCGAATGAGGCGAGCGTGCAGGTATTGTTGCCATAGCTGCGGAGCTTGCTTGATGCCGTAGAACGACTTCAGCAGCTGACAGACTTGATTGGGCTCACCGTTAGAGCCGTGCGGCAACTCGACGAAGATTTCGGCGTCGACATGTGCGTAGAGAAATGCGTTCGCGACGTCGATTTGTCGCAACTTCTTCTTCTTCATGGCGGCGATCGCGAGGAGGATTCGCAGTGAGATGTGTCGGCTGACCGGGGCGAATGTCTCGGTGAAGTCGCGTCCGTGTTCCTGGTCAAAGCCACGCACAACCCAGCGTGCTTTTGAATTTCACTCGGAAGACCCACTTCCCGGTGAGTATAGTCTTGTTTCGTGCCACTCCGATAGGAACAACTTTCCAGGTGTTGCGCTCCTCTAGTGCCTTCGATTCCCTGTCCATGGCTTCGCGCCAATTTTCCCTGTGCTTTTTCCCAGAGCCTGCTGAACTGTCGCAAGCTCCTTAGGAGTCACAGTGCCGTGGACTGCGGTGACGAGGCCAAGTATCTGGAGGCCACTCTGTGTGTAGCGGGGAAGTGTGGTGTCCGCGGGATAAGCTGCTTTGTCACCTGCTTCTGGGCGGGTATGAAGTTGGGCCCTATGCGTTCTGCTTCGTTGGTGTTGACTTCTGAAGGTGTAACGTAACCGTTGTCGGCGAAGTGGTAAAATACTTCGGCGTTGACGCTTTCGCGAGGGTTTTCGTCATCCATTGGGACATCGACGGAGCAGTACGGGAGAGGTCTGGCTTCCTCTGAGGCTGTGTCCACATTCTGTTCGTCCAAGTTAGCTTCGTCCGCTGCGGAAGTGAATGTCAGAACATATAGCTTACTTGTTTGTGTAGGCTATAGTGGGGTATCCCATAGGGGGTACAACACATTAGGGTTTCCTATTTGTATTCTCTTCACTTCATAGTCATTCATCCTCGTTCTTTGTTTCCACAGTGAAAGCTCGGTCTCCACGAAGTCCACTGGTGAGGTCGCGTTGTTCTTCCACGTTGGCTAGGTAGGAGTCGAGGGTGAGTCGTTCGTAGAAAATCACATCACGTGCTGCTACTGTTTCCTTGGTGTGGACGTCGAAAATCTTCCATGCGTTGTAATTCTTTTCGATGCCCAGGTGTAGTCCCCACTGTGCGCGTTGGGAGAATCGGCCGGCTCGTGCAGATGGGGGTCGGTACTGTACCATGCAGACGAAGACTCGTAACATTTTTGTGCTGCCCAATTTTCCTATCCACAGCAGATGCGGTGATGCGTTGTTCGGGAGCGATGATGACGAGAGCAAGTTGTGCAGCATGACGGCGTGGTCCATTGCTTCAGGCCACTGGTGGTTGGGTAGCCGCATGCCACGTAGCAGCTTGCGCATGGTGTTCTGGAGGGTCCTGTTCATCATTTCTGCTACACCCTGCTGTTGATGGGCGTAAGGAAGGGAGATGAGCCTCTTGATTCCCTTCTCTGCCAGGTAGTCCTTGAAGCGTTGTGAGGTGTATTCTCCGCCTCCATCTGACTGAAAACTCTTTAGTTTCACTCTGGACTCTCGTTCTGCTGCTGGAAGCCAGGCGACGAAGGCTTCGAAAGCCATGTCGCGACTCGGAAGGTTCAGGTGCCAAACGTATCAGGTGGCGGCGTCGATGAAGGTGATGGTGTAGTTGTAAGCTCCTTGTCCTGGTACGGGATTGTACAGGATGTCGCTGTACACCTTTTCAAGCGGTGCGTATGCTGGTGCACTCGGGTTGTGGTGAGGTACAAACGGTTGATGCGGTAAGTCAGCTTCGGGACATGTAAAGCATGTCCCTTTTGCTCGTTGGAGTTCTCTCCCGTCATGTAGTAGGAGTGAATCTTTGTCGAGCACTCCTGCTCTTATCTGTCGAGAGTCTAAGAACAGGAGTTGAAAGGTGGGGCCTAGGCTTAGTAGCCTAGGCCCTAACTAGGTATCGAGCGGGTTTTCCTTAGGAGCGATGTCAAGTGAGTTGTGAGAGAGAAATTGGAGAATGGGTTTTCACTATAGCATTCGAAGTACATATAGCAAAGGAACACATGAAGAGGTGCACCACCTACAAATTTAATAACTACACTACAGCTAGAACTACATGCAGTTATAGTAAATATAATTCTGACATTATCGTGTTGTTTAACATTGTGTTGCTTGGGTATCCCATTCGTGCATGCCAGATTTCTTCGCTGGCGCGATGTCCGGGTGAACGTCGGTACATGTCGGAGTTGGAGTAGAAGCTGGCGGTGAAGTTGGTGCTTCGATGAACTTCTCGTGGTGCTGGGTGCAGTTGTTGCGCGGGTGTCGGTGGTGTGTCGTCGACGAGGAGTGGTGCCGTTGAAGGACCAGCGACTGGCGTTGACGTTTTTGCTGCTGCCGTTGATGGTTATGCTGCTGCCGATATTGTTTCTGCTATTGCCGATGTTGTCTCTGCTGCTGATGATGTTGTCTCTGCTGGTGCCGATGTTGTCTCTGCTGCTGCCAATGTTGTCTCTGCTGCTGTCTCTACTGCTGCCGATGTTGTTTGAATTGTTGCTAACGCCCTTGTTCTTTCTGCCTCAGGGATGGTGTGTGAATACCAGAAGCCGCCGGGGCTGAAGTCTGGATCAAGATCTGGAGGGTGGGTCCAGGAAGTGAAGGTGACGATGCCGTCGCTGTCTGATGTGCCGAGATCTGGAACAAA